TATCAATACATCGATATCCGTAAAATATAAATTATATTATACTAAATAATATTATATTTGTATAAACAATAATAATAATAATATAAATATAAGTTTTCCATATTTTCTGAATTTAAGACGTATTATTATGTTTTTATTGCCTACTAAAAAAAGGTTGTTCAAACCTCCAGTGTGGCTCCTGGATATCATAGTTTTGTATTTTTTTGAAAAAATGACTCTTTCCTACAAAAAGGTTCCCGACCCCTGCTATATACCTATCTGATTATCATGTATTAACACTTATTAGACGCGTGTAGGTATAACAATATAACACAATAAACTGTGTTAATTACAATMGATAATTTAATTATTCATATAGGTACATATTATATTATGACATTATGTAATCGTATTTTTAGACTTACATTCTGAAATTTTAAATTTTAAAGTGAACTATTTTCCCACCTAATAATCCTACACGTAATATTAAAATCAATCATAAAAATTAATGCCATAATATGGTAAATATTTGTTAGATTCCACTATTTCCACTATTATAGGTACTGTATCGTTTATATCGCATACAAACATTCATTTGTGATTTGTATTATATTATTTTGTGATTTTCATTTAATTTTTTTTTTTTTTTAATACGTTTGGATGAAATATTAGAAAAATTATTCGTAAGATGAAAATTATTTAATGAACAATTTCGTATTACTTACAGGTATTTTGGACTGCTCTTTCGTTTGCCTTAGGATATGAAATTGGAGGAGATGTGATTCGTGGAACTCCGTGTATTAAAAGAAATCACCAATTGTTTTGCCCGACGGCAGGAAAAAGTTACCCAGTGTAAGTAAGTAGTAACTAAACTACCCTCGTGATTTTTCTACGCATAATTATTATTGTATACGTGATAAAATAAAAAATACATGTTTTGAAGGATAGTATATAACAGACATATTTTTAAGCAAGTGAATCATTAGATAGTTTTTATTGTAAACAAACGAATATCACAATGAATTATTATCTTTAGTAAATGATTTTTTTTCTCCTCCATAAAAATCAATACACTGTTCGGGATATTTGAAATAACATCGCCACTCGACATGCCGTTTAGGTAAACGTGAAAGATAAACACACGATTTTACTATATTCACGAGTCACGGACTATATGACGTCAGAGTCCGTGATTTAAGTCTACTTATAGCACAGAGATTAGAACCCGGAGCAAACGGCCGATTGTTATTAGAAAGATAAATCCGCTAACACTTGAAAACGTTTGATTCCAAAAGTTCCTTGATGTATAATTATAAAATATTTGTACCTACTATTTATTTTTTTATTTGTTTAACTCAGAGACCGAATCGATAGATTTATCGATGAAAATAAAGCGCTCATGAAAAGAATGTATGGCGATTTTGAAATGATGGAGAACGGCCCGTTCCCAAAGTCAAAAAGATCAACAGCTCGAAAAAGAAGACAGCAGGACTCCAGTTTTTCGGACAACCAATCAAAACCGAATAAGCTGCCGACCAGAGGCCAGCCTGCAGATTCTGGAAGGTACTATATATATGACTTTGTATAATATCTAATATATGTACATACGGACGAATGTTTAGATAGTAGTTAAATTTTTTTATTACTTTTTAACTTAACTATTGTTAGTTTATTTTCTAATCAACATATGAACTTAACTAGCTCAATCGACATTTGAAATAACTAAGCTTTTTTCAGTTGATTTAAAAAAGTTTTGAAATTTTTCGTTTATTCCTAAATATTATATCCCAATAATATAATTCTATATATTTAAATATTTTATTAGATTATAATATAGACACAGACACGTTTTATGTGATTTACATACTAATTAAAAAATAGATTTTTTTTAACTGAATTAAATCAATATTTTTTTTCTATATTAACTTTTAACTTATTGAGTTAAATTTATAACTTCTTAACTGTCAACTGCAAACTTAAAGGTCATGATGTGTTCTCTAACTTAACTTAACTTGAGTTAATTACTTTCATCAAATTGTCCACCTTTGATGTTAGTTCCTACACAATAGAAAAGGGTAGGTACATGTAATATGAAAGTTCTCTTACACAGTAAAAAAAAAAGTTCAAATGTCAATAAGTGTATCAGTACTTATGCTATATTATAGTGTTTATATTTGTTATTAAACTAGGTATATTTCTAATATTAAAATCTGTACTTATTCAACCTGATCATAATGTGTTTAAAAAAATAATGAAAATAGCATACTAATAATTTTCATAAATTAAAAGATAATCATTATCGTTGACACACAAAAAAAATAAAAATAAATAATAATAACATTTTTTAAAATTAACTACTGAAATAATAAACATGATATCGCCGTCATACACCCTATAGGTACCCATGCATCGCGGTTTAAACAAGAACGATAATATAAATACGGCTAATCCATGCTATAATATTATATTTCAATAATCACAGAGTAATTTTTCCACCGTACAGTAACCAACATAATCAACTCATTATTTTTATCGTGCAGGAACCTACACATCTCATTTTTATATTCGTGTTGGAATTAACACATCACATTCGTAGGAACTATCGAGTAGGAACTATCACTATTCCCCTTACATACATAGGTACCATTACAATACGCATTTTTTTTTTTTAAATCAATATACTAATTAATATAATATATTGGTAGACATAATAATATGTATTATAGTATTGAGCATTATGTAGATGACTGCTGCTGATGAGTCATTAAGAGACAGATCCCTATAGGTAGGTATTAACAATATTGTGTGTTCAACACAACACGCTATAGTACCACCGCCTACTTCATTTCTATTTAGGTA